TATCAAATCAACCGTACAATGGGATATTCCTTTTTCACAAAGGCTATTTGTTTTGGGGGATCCATCACTCCTTAAATATGCTCCCCCTCAGGCTGCTGAGTGGGTGCAGACTGCATTGATGCTGGGGCGTAAACTCATTATCTCCCAGTGGAAGGCTCCTTCCACCCCACCTGTCTCTGTATGGCATATTCAACTAGGGAGACTCGCTGCACTAGAACAACTCTCATACAGGCTCCTGAATAAAGTGGAGAGTTTCCATCTGAAGTGGGATCCATATCTGTCCAGAATAAAACGAACAGACTAGAACTTAGAGTGGGATAGACACTGGAATTTTGACGAAGCACTCTCAGGGATGTCAGAGTGTGACGTGCAGTAAGACCCATATAGTCAAAGGCTGGCTGTTTTGGTTTCTCTTTTGTTTGTTTTTTTGTTTTTTTCTTGTATTTGTTTATCTCTTGCTTTGTTTGCCCCCCCTCATTTTGGTTTGGTATTCTCTACTGTTCTGCTGTGCTGATGTTTTCTTTATGTGATGTAATCTGTCTCTGCAGTGGACTGTAGTGTTCTAAAAGTACAATAAAATATTAATCACAAAAAAAAAAGGAAGATTGGCTATTTTAATGTCACCTCACAGATCATCATCATCATCATCATCATATTACATGATTCCTGGGAGATCAAGATAATGAAAAAAACAAAAACTACTGGTGGCTGCTACTGATACCCCTCATCATCCAAGCAGATACACCCATGGTATCAACTTGGATGGTCATGAAGACATGGTAATGGTGACGGCGATCTCTAGTTCAGACTGAAGGAGAAAAAAAATGTCCTTACCATTTTAAGACTTGCACAATAAAGATATTCTTTTACATATTTTAAAAGTAAATTGTTAACGATTTTTCCTATCTTGCCTCTGCACTCATACAGTGTGTATCTTATCTCACAAATTTATTGCACTTCTTGTTTGTTGGTAAGGTGCTTTTAACGCTCTATCTGTACTTGTGTGGGGGCTTGTTATAAATCAGTTTTCAACCTTAAATCTCTCTCTGCCTATAAGACCTTAATGAAAATGACTGAATTTTCCTTGTATTCAGTGAGCAGTGAGTTACCAATACTGCCATTTAATTTTGTCTTCTGCTCTTGTGTCTGGTGTGATAACTCTTGTATATGTTGCAGAGTGTGGCATGGTGGGAAAGAACTGAGAGAATTCTCCACTAAACATTTGTGTTGCTTTGGTGTTTTTGTCTTTGTGAGGTGTCGGCCACATCCATGTGGGAGTGGATGTTCTACTCTAGTCCAGCTGCCAGCTATTTGGAGTTGAGTACAGGTAGCAGAGGAAACTGGAAGGAGGGGGTGGTTGTTGTTTTGTTTTGTTTGTGGGACACTGTTGCAGCAGGGAAGCCAGTTGACCTTGGAGACTCCAGAATGAAAAGTGCACATTTTAAATGACTTTTTTAAACCTGGCTTTGCTTTTAAAATAATCTAATGATGCTGGAGGGAGGACTCGTTTTAATTAGGATTCATGTGGATCTGGTGGGATAAAAAGACTGGATTAGAGACCCTCTGTGCCCAAGGAAAGGGAATTGGTCAAAAGTTGGAAGAAAAAAATATTGTTTTCAAAATAAACTGCATTATTCCTAGACTCTGATAAAGTAGCTTTGCATGATTCAGTGTTCAAAATAATCCAACCCTTTCATTTTAAACCAAGTTTCTTTTGGTTGGCTGCCTCCACAAACAAAACGTTTGAGCAGTCGGTGGGTGGAGCCTCCATATCTGCTTTATCTGACATCATACCAAGCCAAGGCTATTTATACAGACATTTATTTTAAACTTTGGCTATGTTCAGGTGGGGGAACCAGCATTTTGAAAATATATCTGTGATAGAAAACAAGGGAAAGTACAAAAGGTCTCCTTTAATAT